CCAGACGACTGCCTGTGGGACTTCAGAGGGTCTTGTGGCTGATCTCAGCCTCGGTTTGGTCGTTTGTGGCAAACGACGACAGCCCGCAGCGTATGACTGACGGATGGACTTATCATCCTCCAAATCATCCCACATCGAATGTCGGTCTCTGGTTGGTCGCCAAAAAGATTAATTCGACGCAAAGAGCTGTTTTAAAATGCAATGAGTCATGTGTAGATCTGTGCCATCGGTTCGATTGTCGCAGAGGTTGCGAATTGTTGCCAATTGGGGCGATTCGTGGTCGGCCGTTAATGAGGAAGCCGGGACGGTTTAGCGACTAATGGTCAATGCGCCAAGCTGATGCACGACCAATTCGATGGCTTTCGCCATGACATCTGCTGATCCGTCTGCGTCAGGCACCTTCTGAATGAATTGCCTACAGTCGGCGCAGGTTGCAACTAGACTCGCTCTGTTTGAATAGAGGGAAAGGGAAGAAGCGAGGAAACTTTTGCGGGAAGAAAATTGGCAGCAGCGGTCGGAACTGAGGAAACGCTGATCTTCTTCTACCCTTCAGCATAGGTCTTGCCTTACGTACTTCGTACCTTACAAGCTGTACGCTACAATGAGCCTGCCATCCACCTAATAATCAGATTTGAAAATTCAAGATCGTCTTCATCCTCTATTATACGTCTTTTCAGTGTTAGAAATAATGCTTAAATCCTTGATGCTGATGTAACCCTTTCATCATATCTCTGGGGACTAAAACCTTCAAAAAACTATTTAAATGAAGCGCTTTTATTGGTATTAAAATTACCTTCGAAAGTATCTACTCTTCCTGTGATTAAGCAATAGTCTTCCAACCTTCGGAATCAGGTTCCCTGCCATTCTCACTGGGCAGATGAAAACAGAAAGTCTGTCAGATTAACAGCTTGCTTGTTAGAAACAATAGCAAACAATGTATGAACCAAAAGGGCCGCCATCATCGCCCATGCAAAAAATCAGTCGATTGCTCATTCCGTTGTTCCTCACTCAAGAACAAAGCTTTAGGCAACTTAGAGAATTAAGATTAGCACAGGGGATCAATTGAACACCTTTATTTCGCCCATCCGGGGAAGATTATGTGTAGTTACCTGTAGGCCTGAAACTCGCGTCCATCTGGAAGGTCCAATAAACTCTGATATTATTTTGAGGATTGAAAAACCATGGAGTGGCGTAAATTAGAAGTACTAAGGTCTTTTGCTAAGTCCTAAATTTTTCGAGTTTCTCTTTGTGCTTGCAGTTTTAGTGAGTCTACTGGAGAGACAGTGAGGGTTAGCGTGAAACGTTTCGTTTGCATTATACGGAGCGAATATGAACAGGATTATAATCTTTTTGGTTGAATCAGATGTGAGAAATTTCATTAATTATTCGACAGAAGATTTGGCTGACAAGAAAGATCCGCTGCATCTTCATTTGTTAATTTGTTGATCCAAAAATGCAGTTATGAATAATATGTTCGTTTCTGTTCTGCTGTAGATCTTTGTAGAAACGCTGACCGGAAAGTATACTGCCTGATGCGATCAGAGAGCGTTAAGGCCAAGGTCTAAGACAATGAAGGAATCCCTCCTGATCAACAGCGATAATCTTTGCAAGAAACGGCTTGAACTTGGCAGAATTTAGTCAGATTACAAATTCAGAAACAA